TCACAAAATTACCCTTTGACTTGGGAATCACACAGAATCGCATACAAAAAAATTCTCAAGAGATAAGGAAAAAAATGAAAATAAAAAAAATGAAGAGAATAACAGTAATCGCGATTCTGGTTATATCCAATACGCTAATGGCGGCGACTACAACGTCTCGAGCTTCTCTCAACCTTCTTCTTCTTCGTCGCTCACCTCCCAAATTTCCACACAACGCTAAATTCTTCTCTTCTTCTTCTCACTTTCGTCCCTCATCTTTCTCTAAATCATATCCTTGCCCCATCTGGTCTTCCTCTTTCTCTTTCTGTCTCCCTCCTAGATCTACCTCCACCTCCACTTCTCTTCCCTTCCGTCACTTTTCCTCCTCTCCTCCCTCCATGTCCTCCGCCGTCTCTGCCGCCGTATCCGACTCTCTTGTCTCCGACGACACTCTTTCCTCTAATCCTCTCTTGCAGGATTTCGATTTCCCTCCTTTTGATTCCGTTGACGCTGCTCATGTTCGTCCCGGGATTCGTGCTCTATTGCAACAACTCGTATGTTCTCTCCTTCAATTTGTGATTTGATCGGATTATCGACATTTATAGTTTGTTTTTTTTCTTTGGTTTCAGGAAGTTGAATTGGAGGAGCTAGAGAAATCTGTGGAGCCAACATGGCCTAAATTGGTGGAACCATTAGAGAAAATCGTTGATCGGTTAACTGTTGTTTGGGGAATGATTCATCATCTTAAAGGTGTCAAGGACTCACCTGAGCTTCGTGCTGCCATTGAAGACGTTCAGGTGTGTGTACTCATGCTTATTTGTGTTGGTTTTGTTTCAGAGAATTGGAGAATTCATCATAACTTTTGTTCTTATGCAGCCAGAGAAGGTGAAGTTTCAGCTTAGGTTAGGGCAAAGCAAGCCTATTTACAATGCCTTTAAAGCTATTCGTGAATCTCCTGATTGGCTATCTCTCAGTGAAGCTCGTCAACGTTTAGTAGAAGGCAAGTAGTTGTAATTGGAAGTAGTTCTAATCTAAGCGTAGTAGATGTGCTAACTGTTGATCAGTACGATTATTTCAGCGCAAATAAAGGAGGCGGTTCTCATAGGTATTGCTCTTGATGGTGAAAAGAGAGAAGAGTTTAACAAAATTGAACAGGTTTGTTTTAAAGCTAGCTTTGTTTTCCCAATGTTAATGCCCCTGCATATGCTTGTAATAATAAAAAGATTGTTCTTGATTGTAGGAGCTCGAAAAACTTTCCCATAAGTTTTCTGAGAATGTTTTGGATGCTACAAAGAAGTTTGAAAAGTTGATAACAGACAAGAAAGAGATCGAGGGATTGCCTCCGTCTGCTCTTGGGCTATTCGCACAAGCAGCTGTGTCCAAGGTATCAATATTAACTGAAAGATATGGAAAGTTTTGTTTTTGTTTTCTTTTGTGGTTTTAAAAAGTTTTTCTTTCTTGTATATGACACAAGGGCCATGAAAATGCAACTGCTGAGAATGGACCATGGATCATTACACTGGATGCTCCTAGTTATATTCCCGTCATGCAACATGCCAAAAACCGTGCTCTGCGTGAGGAAATCTGCCGTGTTTATATATCTCGTGCCTCATCTGGTGATTTAGATAATACAGCAATTATTGACCAAATATTGAAGCTTCGATTGGAAAAAGCTAAGCTTCTTGGTTACAACAATTACGCTGAGGTAGAGTCGTCAAACTAAGTAAAGCTGTTCGTTTTTCTTTTTAATTGGCTTAATGTGGCTCTCTATTGTTCTAGGTAAGCATGGCTATGAAAATGGCTACTGTTGAGAAAGCAGCAGAGCTTCTAGAGAAGCTTCGTAGTGCTTCATGGGCTCCGGCTGTTCAAGGTAACTTGCAGAGAATATATATTATATTCGAAGCAACTTGTTATTCATTAAACAATTTGGCAACTGTTGTAATAGTCAGATATAGCATGAGGCTCCATTGCTTTGGCATTGGCCTATCCAAGAGCGAACTTTGAATATCTTGGTTTGTTGTATAAATTAGACATGGAAGACCTCAAGAGTTTTGCAAAAGACCAAGGTGCTGCAGAAGCTGACAGTTTGACTCACTGGGACACCACTTTCTGGAGTGAGAGGCTTCGTGAATCCAAATATGATATTAATGAGGTTCTTCGTCCTTCTCTAGCTTATGATACAACAATAATGTTTTAAAAATGTTTATCCTTATCGCTCGTTTTGGCCGTTTTAGGAAGAACTACGTCCATACTTCTCACTGCCAAAAGTTATGGATGGACTTTTCAGTCTAGCTAAGACACTATTTGGAATAGATATTGAACCAGCAGATGGTGTAGCTCCGGTAAAATCTGAAATCCTATCTGTTGCGTGGACATGTAATATACTAGTTAAAGCCTCTTAGTTGACATATATTACTAATTTGAAGGTCTGGAACAGCGATGTTCGGTTCTACCGCGTCAAAGACTCTTCTGGGAACCCAATCGCTTACTTTTACTTTGATCCATACTCTCGCCCTTCGGAGAAAAGAGGTGGCGCTTGGATGGATGAAGTTGTTTCCCGTAGCCGAGTCATGGCTCAGAAAGGTACTTCTGTTAGGTTGCCTGTTGCTCACATGGTATGCAACCAAACTCCACCCGTAGGTGACAAGCCAAGCCTTATGACATTCCGTGAGGTAAATGATAAAACATCCTTTCCACCTGCTTATATCTTAGCTCGACATGAAATCTCACAAATTCTTACTTGCTGACTGTTTTACAGGTAGAGACGGTATTTCATGAATTTGGACATGCTCTTCAGCATATGCTTACCAAGCAGGATGAGGGGCTTGTGGCTGGTATTCGAAATGTCGAGTGGGACGCCGTTGAATTGCCATCACAGTTTATGGAGAATTGGTGCTACCACAGGTACTTAACGGAGAAATTTTACCCACTTTGTATTTGACACGTAAAATTATGTTAACTGAGAGTTATGAATCTGAATTGCTGGTTGCAGGGACACTTTAATGAGCATTGCTAAGCATTACCAAACAGGAGAAACACTACCAGAGGAAGTATACAAGAAACTCCTAGCTGCAAGAACATTCCGTGCAGGG